CGTCTTCCATGCGCGCCACAGATTCTCCACTGGCCTGTGCGCGAAGGCTCCTGGGAATGGGATTCCCTTTATGTCTCCTAGCCTCGTCTGCTTGAAGCACCCATCGGAACATTCGAACTCGAGGTGCCCCCTCTCGGCCGAGCTCGACACAACGGCGCCTCTGAAAAGTGCACAATGAATTGTCGAAACTTTCTGCCTTTTTCTTTCTACCCTTGCAACCTCTCTGATGTTTTGTGTCTATTCTTTCATCCGATATCTCTTTAGGGACCACCCGCAATTGGTCAAATGGTACTCGTATAGGATCATTGTTCTCACCTATTCTGCTGACGAGTGCTGAATTCTCACTTATTTGTATTACTCTGAAAGGCCCAGCCCATTCACAAACCAACTTGGGATGTGAGTTTCGCGCTTTCTCATTCGGCGATAGGACATAGACCCGATCACCCAACTTTGGAAAGGTTTTTCCGTCCACTTGTTCATACTGTCGTAGTGCTTTTTCATTTGCTCCCGCACTCTGGAATTGTACTCCCTCACTCTTTCATGCGTTTCTGAAATTGCTTGCAATATTTCGGCCCTGTACTCGTCTAATGTTCTATCCATAGAGTACCGAGTAATTCCTCCATTAGGAATAATTTCCGATGGAAATGCAGGGTCCACTCCATGCAGCAAATAGTAGGGACTCTCTCCTGTGGCCCTATGGGGTGTCATATTATATGCCATCATACAGAATGGCAGTCTAGAGTCCCACTCTGTCGGAATCACCGTGCTCCTTCTCAACATAGCCACAATGGTACCATTCAGCTTCTCCGTCAATCCATTTTCCCGAGGGTTATAGCCCTTCGTGGTCACCTGTGTTATTTTTGCTATTCTGGTGATCTCTTCCATAACGTGATTCACAAATTCGCCTCCTCTATCCGAAAGGATCGCTTTAGGCCACCGACAACCCTCCGCAATCCACCTTAAGAAGACTGTCTTGGCTATTGTCTCCGCAGACTTGTCTCCTACCGGATATGCTGCGGCATATTTTGAGAAGTGGTCAATTACTGTTACCGCGTATTTGTTTCCATTTCTTGTAGGGCCAAGCTCCAAAACATCAACCCCTATGATTTCGTAGGGTTTTGTCGTTACTATCGGCTTCAAAGGCGGGGTCATTACTTCCCTCGGATTGTGGACAAAACACTTTTGACACTCTTTTGCCCATTTACAAATATCCTGCGCCATTCCAGGCCAATATACCTCCTTTCTCAACCTGTTTAGCACCTTGTGCGCGCTGAAATGGCCCGCAAAGACTCCGCTATGTGCTTCATGGAAAATTTCGTATCTGAACGCTTTTGGGACCACAAAAACTGCTCTTCCATCCTCTAGAAACATTTTTAGGTCTCCTTCATCTATACTAAAATCCGCTACTCTCAACGCCCGTCTTTCTCCAGCTAGTCTTATGATCTCGTCTAGCATCTTTTCCTCTACTAACCGTACCAACTCCCCCAACTGACTATCTTTCCTCAATTCTTCCAGCCACTTGGAATCTTTTTTCGCACTGACGGCATTTACCACTGCCTCATTGACCCCTTCCAGGGATTCCTCTGGCGACGATGCTGGTGTTCCTCTGCTTAGGGCATCGGCTACCACGTTCGCTTTTCCTTTAACATACTGGATGTCCAAATTATACCTTTGGAGCTCTAACGACCACCTCAACACCCGTGCAGACACGTTGCTACGCTTGAATAGCGCTGTTAGTGGTTGGTGATCTGTCATCACTACTGTTGGAAGGCCGTATATAAACATGTGAAAACGGCGCACCGCGAACACCACCGCAAGAGCTTCAAGATCCGTCACATGGTATCTACGCTCCGCCTTACTAAGGCTCTTCGACGCAAAGAAAATTGGGTGAATTTGCTTATCTTCCCCTTCTTGGGATAATACTGCACCTAATCCTTGTGTGGAAGCATCTGTGCAGATCAGAAAGGGCCTACTGCCACTTCTAGCGCTAGCTACATCCGGTTGCTTAAGCACGGGGGCTGAAGACAATCATGGCCTTCACTTTTTCAAAAGCCTCCTCATGCTCTTTCTGCCACGACCACACAGCTTTCTGCGATGTCAAACTGAACAGCGCTCCTGCTTGTTTCGCAAATCCCAAACAAAACTTTCTGTAGAAAGATGCCATGCCTAGAAAAGTCCGCAACTCCTTACTGTTCTTCGGTACGGGATAGTTCTTGACGGCGGCAATCTTTTCTGGGTCCATGTGAACCCCCTCTGCGTCAATTACGTGCCCCAAGAAGGCAACTTTACGCTTCAGCAGGTGGCACTTCTGTGCTTTCAATCGTAAACCAGCAGCCTGTAGTCTCGCAAACACCTCCCCCAGGAGCTCAAGATGACGGTCCTTTGTTGAGGTACACACCATTATATCATCGATATAACAAAAAACTTCGGATCCGAGAACATCGCCTAGAACGGTGTCCATCATTCGTTGGAACACCGGTGGGCTCGTGCTCAAACCAAACGGAGTGACACGGAATTGAAAAAGCCCCTCAGGCGTAGTGAAAGCCGATTTCTCCTTGGCGTCCTCCGCCAATGGTATCTGCCAATATCCACTACATAAGTCCAGCGTGGAGAAGTACTGTTTGCCACTGAGACTTTGAAGCACCGCTTCCATACTAGGAAGTGGATAGGCGTCCAACTTTATCCTTTTGTTCAATTCCCTGTAGTCTACACATCAGCGAAGAGGGCAGCCATCTTTCTTTTCAACTAATACTATGGGAAAAGCCCATTCCGATTTGCTTTTTTCGATTATGTTCCTAGCCAGTAGGTCTGCCAGAAGCTCCTTCAACTTCGGTCTGACTCCGAAAGGAACCGGGCGTGCTTTCATTTTTATAGGACTACTACTCCCTGTATCGATAGTCATTTCTGCCACATCTGTTTGAGAAAGTTCTCTATCACATATCGAAAACGCGTCTGCATGAATCCTTAGAAGCTCCCGTATGCCTCCCTCTAACTGGCCTGACTCTGCATTCCTCTCAATCAGTTCGATCAACTTATCCAATCTCTGGTCACCTTGCACAAGGCTTTCCTCCTTATCTAGGCTCAAAACGTTGAGTTCATCCCATCGCTGGTGCCATTTATCGGTACTCCAGTGGCCTACCTCCTCGCCCTCTTTGAGCACCAACCCTTCATCACTACTATTGAAAACCGGTAGGGCAGTTTCTCGATCCTGAATGCTGTATACCCCAGCCGCTATGCCCTTCCTGCTAGGCCAGATTACTCGCTCTACCTCCGCTGGGTCCTCACCACTACAGCGTACCGATACCAAGGCTGCATCGCGTGGCGGGACATATACGCGTCTTACCACTGTGACCTTGCTATGGAATGCCCTTTTCGACTCCTGCTCGACACTCTCCAATTTGTCCGGCACTATGGATACTTCTACGCCCAGTCTACTAAGAGCGTTGGTACCTAGGATGAGTTCATTCTCCTTGGAAGGACTGATATGAAAAGGCACCCAACGTCTGTTCCCTCCTACCAGCTCTACCTCAATGTACACCGCTCCAAGGAGTTCCATCTTATTATTGGATGCGTCATATACAGGAACCAGCTGGGATTTATTGACTAATTTCAGGGTATCCACATCGAATCCTCTATCCTGTGCCTCGGCCAACACCTGTACAGGTATTATGCTGATCATTGACCCAGTGTCAATCAATGCTGGACTCTTACCACCGAGTAAACAAAGCTGTTTGACCACCCTATTACCAATTAGCTCAGTGGATTCTTCGTCTTGCCTTCTCACCCTAACGGCCATATTACGAGCCTTGCTTATAATCTCTGACAGGGTATTGCTCTCGGTCTCATCCTGCTTCTTAACTTGGTTCACCCTGGTTGGTCGCTGGGGACAGTCTCTACTTATATGGCCATATTTTGAGCATCTGTAACATTTCTTTCCATCGGTACCCTCCATTGCACCGCCTCGTTGGCTAGACCTTGCTTGACGTATCTGGTGCTGGGATTCCCTGGTGCTCTGTGGACCAGCCGGACCACTGCTTCGACGCGCATTGTCCCTCACCGACTCCTCTCTTTCAGTCCCAGGCCTAGTGGGTGAAACCCTTGCCTCTCTACTATTTTCGTGGCCCTGATACTGCGCAGCTCTCTCTCTCCACCTACCCGCTGCCATTCTTCTGCTGGTTCCAAACATAGCCTTTGACTGTTCTATGCTCATGGCCAATTGTTTGACCTCTTCATACGCCTTGCGAGGTTCTACCCTATGCAGCGTTCCTACCAGTTGGAAATGTTCTGGCCACATGCTGAGATTATCTAGAAGGATCTGTGCGTACTCAAGCGAACGATCCTCCAGCGTACATTCTGGGTTGGCCTGCCTTCCCAGCCTCTCCAAAGTTATGCAAAAATCTGCTACCCCTTGATCAGGTCTTATCCTCAAGTTTCTAAGCTCTGTAAGAGCTCTCACCCTACCTGCCGTAGACTCATGGGATAACAGTCTGGCCATTTCCCTGGTGACCGCCTCGAAACCTAGCTCTTTGGTCATCCTAGGCAGGGCTTCAAAAATACTCTTGGCTCGGCCCCCTAGGTGGTCGTCACCCAAGATTTCTATTAGGGTGGCTTCCGAACTAATAACCTTCGCGTACTTTCTCTTGAACCTTCTGATGAACTCCTCAAAATTCTCGTATTTAGCTCCCCTGAACACCCCAGGGTCTACGCAGGCCATTGATGTTAGGTATGCCAAAACATTCTCTGACATTGACACACCTGGCTCTTCCGGTACAGGTCGAGTCGAATCTGATGATCGAAAACGTGTCCTCGAGTGATCGACATACTTCTGACCAGTCAAAGGCGTCGTCTGGAATTGAGCAGCATGAGCTCCCTCCAATCTCCCACCATGTGGATTCACCCTACCTTGGCTTTCTCCTGATGCCACCTGAGACTTTTGTCCCTCCTGGAGAGCCATGATCTCTCGCTTGACCTGCAACACATCAGTGTTTAACATATCACAGATTTCTCCCATCACCTCTCCATCCTGTTCCATGGTTCTTACGTATTCTCTCCAGTCCTCAACACTTTCGATCCCTCTTTGGCTCAGCGTCTTCGCTATCTCTCTCACTAGTAACAAGGGCAGGGTTTCCCCTTCTTTGATTTTTCTCCAATACTGCTCAATCTCCTCCAAAGCTTTCGTCCATACCCCTTCAACTTCCGCCTTTGCTTGGTTGGACACCCTCGATTTTCCCAGGATGTCGTTCGCCTTCTGCTGGGCCTCCCGTAAGATCCGAGCAGCACCCTCCCATTCTCGCTCTGACTCCTCACATCTATTTCTTCGATTAATCAAACTCACTTCTTGCGGCGCCTGATTTTCGTCCTCCATCATCATATCACCTTCCATAATTCTGAAATACTACTCTATCAGTTACTCTCTTACGTTCGCCACCAATCAATACACGAAAACAGACACGAAACCACGACACGGCGTAGCGACAGAATGAATGACTGAGGCAGACCTCCACCTCCCGTAGCTTTCCCACTGTGGCACTGTTGGTGGGCTCCTTCGATCGTCGCTCCTCTGCTTAGGAAACGACCACACTTTCTCCACTGAACCTCTCTCCTCGTTCAGTTATTTTTCACTTCTCAGCTCGCCGAAGACGGTTCGGCCCCCATGTAATGACCCGGACCGTCGTAGGCCGGGACTAGACTTCGACTTGTGAGAGTGTGAAGAACTGTGAGAGAAGGATTCGCGGAAACTTTATTGATAACAAATTAACCAACAACAAAAATTTGTAAACAACGACGACGAATTGAAACGGGGTAGTGGAGGCGGGTTGAAGTCGACGGCGACCAAATGAGCGGGCACGGTAGGGTGCGCGGCGCAACCTCTCCGGAACTTAACCTCAGGACAAAAAGTCCCCAATACTCGCCAGTCAGGCGCTAACCGAGCCACACAGGCTCCTATCTCCCAGAGCCACTGAGGCTCCCCAATTCAGCCACTAAGGCTCTACAGTTCAGCCACACAGGCTCCTCGACTTGAGCTGTACTCAGCTCCCTCTACACGAGCCACGTAGGCTCCTTCACTAACCGAGCACCACTAGGGCACTCCGAGAAAACACCGGGTACGAGGCGCACTCCCCTAAGAACCAGGGGAGAACAAATAGAAGTAACCAAGAAGTAGAAAATAGAGATTAGCTGGAACTGTAACAATTACCGTCCAACCCTTGTTCTTTTATAGGGGCCTTCCCGCGCCCCGGCCTCCATTCCCGCTCGAGTTGTTTACGCCAATGGCAAGGTGGTCTGCGTTACCCGCGCCGCAGTTTCCCTCTGGCAAGGTTTTGACCACCCCCGATCGTTCCCCGCCGAATGGTTCGACCTACAGTACCTTACGCTTCATTGGTCGCCTTTGGTGCGTAGGTCCCGCCTCCACACCTGTACCTGACATGCCCCCCCCTAACAAAAGTCGATGTCCTCATCGACCGCTCCACCTCGATCGGCGGGAGCTTGAACTGGGGCACCCTAGCGCATATGGTTTCATAAAGCCGCTTTGCCGCCACCACTCCTGGGTATGTCCTGTGAAACTGCGCTGCGGCCTCCGGACATCCAGCTTCGAGGTATAATTTACCGTCACACAGACAGAATGTTGCTTGCTGTGCAAACAACCTGCTCCGGGCCACCGAATTTCTGCAGCGTCGCGTCTATGGTGGACCACAGCCTGGTCATCGAAATCCACGAGGCT